TCAAAACCTTTAATTTGACCTAGAAAAATATGCGCATTTTTGCACACGCATAGTAGATACAGAACGCGCTGACGAACATTTTGGCGTAATTTTGAGTCGAATTGGATCTACGCTAACTTGCACGATCTCACTATACTGTACACATGTATTGGAAACAATCTTAGGTTTGGGAAAACACTTTTTTCTGCCATCGGACTTCAGTCTAAAACGAATTTTTTTTTTGGAATATATAGCTGAAACTGCGTGAATTCTGAATATACACGTTTTATAGCCTCACATTAGGTTGATATTACAAAAAAATATTTTCCCCGTGAAAGATGGCTTGAACCGAGTGTATTTTTACTAATACGTTTTTTCCAAAAATTCGTCACTTGATTCAAAAAATTTTCTACCATTAGATAGCCCGTTCATCGAAGTATATTTGACACTAGTTAAATTTTGAAAAAACCTACTTTCGATATTATGCCAAATGTCCGCCTGGATGCCCACTGTGCTATGGCAGACGCCGCTAATCATACCATAACCTTCAGCTCAAATTTCTAATATTGTTTAAAATTAATGTTTGGTGGTGTAGTGGATGGATTATTTGTATAGTAAAACACATTTCCAGGAATGTCGACTCTGCTAAAACTAGAATACTTTCCATCGTCCATAATGATATAATAATCTGATAAAATTTGACGGTACAAATGTCCGTAGTTTTTATGTGCACACCTCTCCTGGTCTTTAATATATTTTGGTACTTTAACACGTTTTATTACTCAAATATTGGTCCGTTGTTTCAAATTTCGAGAGATATTTGATACGTTACTTTGTATTGGTAAGCTAATGATCTTCGACTAACACTAGTCTTACTTATCTAAATTATACGCCCATTCGTGTTGAAATTTTATTACTTAATTTTTGTGAACGATCATATCGAGGCACATCTTTTGTTGTTTTAACCTGTTCATACCTTTGTATTATTCCATTTATTGGATTAAATAATTATAACCGTCTTTTTTAAAAAAAGTTCATATAGTTTTCAAGTTACTACGGATAGCGTCTTTATCGAAATGTACAACGTGTAATCTCAGTGTTTCTCGTTTGTCTTTTTCTATCTTAACAACGAATAGGACGGACAGAAGCATCGAAAAGTATGCTGACCATACTCTTTCTGATGAAAACAAAAGAAAAAAAGTGTCTACGATGTTCCTATGAGATACTGTAATGAAAACAAAATTATATTAGAACTTTTCCAATATCCGCTAAGTCGATTAAAACATTATTGTATATGACGTCAAATCTTAAATTCCCCAAACATACGTAACTAAATTGCTTAAAGTTGCAAATTTTTCTCGAAGAAAACATCCAGTTTTATTCTAGACAAAGTTAAATAATGAAATATTTTTCTTTTTTTTTTATACTCCAATATTGTTTTTATGAGAGCTATATTAGAAAAAATGGTAAAGTAAGTCACGAATACCTTATAATTTTCTGTGAGACAATTACCAAAGATCTATACATTTTGCTAAAATGTACCATTTAAGAATATTCTGGATGATTTTTATAATATAAAACATTTTTAGTAAAAAAAAAAATTAATTATCAAAAACGATTTAGTAAATAAAATATATAAAAAATTTAACTACTTAAAAGAGTAAAACTATATACAAAAAAAAGCACCCATGATCCATGATTTAAATTATTATTTTTTTCTTAGATTACGTAATAAAAATAGTTAAAGTTAATTGTTTAAATTATTCTTGTCCAGTAAATTTCTTAAGAGATTTTGATGTTCCAAATCTAAAATACAGAAGAAAAAATTTATCAAATTATAAATTAAATATGGGTACATGAAAGAAGAACAACAAGTTACATACAAAGTAGAAGAAAAAAAAAAAGAAAAAGAAAGAATGATCCCATGTAAATGAAGATACCTTAAAAATTTTGCCATTTTTTTCATGAATTGCTGAAAAATAACTATTTTTTTAATTTGTTAGTAAAAATAAAACGTAATATAATTACCAAATATTTTCTCTATTGATGGAATAGGACGTAAATCGGTAATTTTTAAATCACTAACAGAATATTCAATATTGATAGACTAAGATGAGATAGACTAAGATAAATTTGATCACAGTTTATATTAATTATATTGAAAATAACTTACAGATGGTAGTTCAACGGACAGAGATATTTTAGGTCTTGGAAATTTGTTATCAAAATCTAAAAATTACTATCAATATAAAAATCAATTGATTAGAATAATAGTGTTAAACATACCGATGTGAATATCGTATGTTTTTCCCGTTTTATCTTTCAATATTTTCTTTGATAATTCTAATTTGTCCATCCAATATTCATATTTTTTCTTTACAAATATATCCTGCATACGTTTATATTCTTTACTAATACATTGATCAATAACCTACACACACATTTATCAAGTAGATGAATTAATGATAAAAAATTTTAAATTTTTATCAGTACCTACTGCTTGTATCCATTGTTGTTGTACATCTACTCGTTGTCGCAAATGTGTAATAATATCTCGAATAGTTTTAAAACTTTGTTTATCTTGTGAATCTTCAATAATATGTTTAAATAATTGATCAATGATTTCAACATCATTTTCACACCAATAGGGTAAAATTAAATGAAATTCATTTTGAATATACTCCATGACATTTGACATATTTAAACTGGCTAGTAATAAATCTGTACGACATTCAATAATGGACAATAACTTATCTAATTCTTTCCTAAATTAATAGATTTTTAAACTTCTTAAAGTCTTAATGATAATCACAAAGTATCTTTAATACCTACATGTTGTTATTATTAATTAATTGTTGTTCTAAAAATGCTTCAGCTGTACAAAGTTGGTTTTTTGCTAATTTTGTAAATTTTAACGAATTATCCCATTTCAATTTAACTTGATAATAATATTGATATACATTTTCTAATTGAATCAGTTTATCATCAGTTTGAGACTGTTGTTCAAATATCTTTTCTAACAAAACAGTAAGTAATTATTTGTATATCACTAAACAAAACGATTTTACATACTCGTATACGATGATTGCCATTCTTTATATCCTTCTAAAATGTTTTTTTGCTGTTCAAGAGTATTTGCATATTTTTTTATCGAATTTTCTTGATTTTGGATAAATTGATCGATGAGTACTGCTAAATCATTGTTTATGATCGTATTCAATTCTTCAAACTAAAATTCATGGGAAAAAAGTTAACAATATATCTTATCTAATCTAAAGAGATATACTGACCTGTTTTGTTCTAACTAAAGTAACGATTTGTCTAGTTTTATCGTTCTTATTTTGAGTTACTGTTGTTGTTGGTGATCGTATTCGTTCTGAACGTAATATCTTATATCGTAATTCAATGTCTTTTTTTAATATCTTTAATAAATTTAATTCTTGGTAACTGTTATCGATCAATTGTTCTATTACATAATTTTCACTTTTATTCAATTCATTTTCAAGCATTAGAAAAGCATGCACAGATTCTGGACTAATGGGATCAGGACACTAAATAAAACAGAAATCTTATATATATAGAGAAACAGACAAACAAATTATACGTACATCATTCGGATTTTTAAACGTCTTTTGTTGACTCCTAGATTGTACTTCAGGAACTTTAAGACCATTTGAAGTTACATTACTAGCAGGAGGCTCATTACCCATCTAAAAACAGACAAAACTGCATCTATAAAATGGCATCATTATTCTTTACACAGTTAGTAAAACTAAAAAGCAAGCAGCGATATCCAAATCATAATTTCTGTCATTACTCAGTTAATCTCTGACCCACAATCAGCTGAGCATTATTCAAAAACGAGTACATAATTTGTTATACTATTAAAGATATGTGTATGTTTATCATGAAAGTTCAGACATGTTAGAATACGGATACATAGTGTGATTGGATCTTGTCAGTTTTGAATATATAACACACCGTGATGTACTATACAAATCTATAAAAGGTATACTAGGTAGGATAGATACTGTGGAATTGAATTAACATATCCTCGTTACCTCTGATACTCATCGTAGCGTTGTTACCAGAATGTGTATCATCTAAGACCTAATATGAACAATAATCTACTGACAAAAAATAAAAGTTGCCAAGGGTTCCAGGCATGTAATATTCAGATGACTGTCAAGCCAAACTACAAGAATAAAACGAAAAAACAACTTCCATAATAGAAAAGACAATAGAAAATGCTACATGACAATAAATAAACGATAAATATAAGCACAAACACACTTAACATGAGATTAAAAACAGATTCACTCAACTACGATATCCATTCGACATTGATTGCAATCAAAATACCCTGTTACTAGGCGGTTATGTCTATCGAATCCGTGCATTTTCTTATGACAAAACTTTCAATATATGATCTAGAACCACAACCTTTAAAATAAAAATCTATACTGGCAATTTTAATGAATTTTAATTCTTAGAGACATCTATCGATCGGTCCAAGTATTTAGCTAAAAAATGGTTTTTCAAAATCTTTCAGATATGTTTGAATAGAATAGAACATATATAGTTTTTATTAATTTACCATATTTTTATATTTTGAGAATTTTAATGACGATGTTTATGATTGGTTTGTAGTTAGAGATAGAGAGGCTAATCAAGATCGTTCTTTGTTTATATTAAGAATAAACAAAATAAACACAAATCACAAAGTTGAACATTCTGCTATGACTCGTGTGTTATTATTTGAATCTCCTAGACTAAAAATCTGACTAAATTCAACACAATTATTTCGTTTATGAATGATATTAAATGTGAATGTTTTTCGTCAGGAACTTGTGCCCATTTATTAGAACAGCAACAGCGACAATTCCTGATTACTTTAGACTATGGCTAAAAAAAAAAGTGTTAAATAATAATAAATGAGTGAAAAAATAGTTTTAGATAAAACGGGACCAACATACAAATGGTAAGAGTAGACTGGTTTATTACTTTAACATGATGTATATCTTCGCTTTGAAATATATGCAGAAAAGGAGGAACTACGAATTATGTTCTCTAAATGCAACAAATATTTTCTTTTTCTCGATATTTTAGTTGGTATCATGGTAGATTAAATCGTTGTGAAGCTGAAGAACGTTTGACAAATACACTGCGCGGATCGTATTTGGTGAGAGAAAGTGAACAGAATCCGGGAACATATTCTTTATCATATAAAGGAAATGATGAACAAATTAGTCATTTTAAGTGAGTACCTGCTCAATGTACTTGTTTTATGAATAAATAGTGGCAAAACAGGTTTTTTTCTCAGTTTGTAAAGCATGTTAGATACCTATGAGATGATTCATCCAAGGCTTTTATATTTTTTGTGTAGAATATCTACGATGTGTGGTGAATATCATTTTGGTGGCCGTCAGTTTGATTCATTACAAACATTAATCGGCTATTATTCGTACTTAGTGGATATTATTCACGGAGAACGATTACTTTATCCTGTAAAACCAGCAAATGTGAGTATTCTGTTGTATTATCCACTCCTGTAGTATAATCTGTTTATATTTAGGATATTGAATTAAATCCAATATGTGTGGCATTAAAAGCGCAAAAGAAAACAACTGAAGATGCAGATAACCTTCAGTAAGAAAAAATAAGAATATTTGTCATGAACTAGCTATTTATACTTTCTCATACGCTGAGGCTTACATGAACATCGATTGCATCGGTCACGTGTACGACTTTTCTATCACGTGTTTAGTTAAGGTTAAAATACCCCAAATACCAACAGGTGTAGGGTAAGACTATCACGTGCACGACCGTTTCTATCTTATGAGTGTAGTAGAATGAATAAAAATTCCATCAATACTGCAAAGTTTTGTCATTCTGTATCTTTTGTTAACGAAATCAAAAAAAATTCAAAAAATTTTTTTTTCTATGAACGATACATCGTTGGATGAAGAGCGTCAGCGTTATCGATTAGGAGGTGGTAGGGGGTGGCAAACCACCCCCTCGTTCGGATACAGTTACTCAAAAATTTTGACTTACTCAGAAATTTTTTAAGAAATTTAAGTTGAGAAACTGCCTTTTATGTACCTTAGTAAGTGATTTTCTCTAGTTTCTGAGTAACTCATTTATTTGCTGAGAAACTCACTCTTATGCATCTGAGTAACTGGGTGACTAACATAGTTTTCTGAGTAACTGAGTTACGCAAAAAAGTTTAGTCAAAAAATGCGTTACTCAATAAAAAAAACTTTAGTTATTCAGCAGGCTCGCCACCTCCCCACCAAAACTACTATCGAAAACACTGAAGAGCGTGATGCTGATCACAAGTATTTTTTGGACCAAGTTTCGGAAGAAAAATCTTAAAAATACAACTTCCTATAAAAAAAACGAAAACTGGACCAATCCCGAGAATTTTCGAACTTTCAGCTATTTGTCGATACTCTAATTTCTTGAAACTGTTTTATTCAGATTCAGCATCAAAAATTGAGTAGAACGTGAAGAAAAAAGAAATTTATCTTTCGAAAGCGTTGTTTCGAAAGATAAAATTCTCTGTTACACATCATTCTAATCGTCGCTTGATGGAGAACAAAAGTACGTTTTGCTTTTTCAAAAATTTTACTTCCTCGTTGAGAAAAATTGACTTAACTGTTAAAAAAAAGAAGTGAAAGTGGAATCCATAAATTACCAGTTTTCAAAAAATTGAGCCAGTTACGCTTCTTAACCAGAACTATAGGTTAGAAAGAGAGCATTGTAAAAGAATGTCTAACGAAAAATGACAAAGAAACATATTCGAGTTTTACAAGTCTAAACTAGAGTGTAACTTAACACTATATCTTTAAAAAGTTAATTTCATCACTACTAACACAAAGCTCAACTTGAAATTGCTCTGTTCGCTTTTTGAAATACTTAAAACAAAAATTTATAGAGAAAATGTTAGCTTTTTACGAATATTCACAAACAAGATTCTCTTTTTCTCTAGTGTTGAAGTGGGTGATCATTTATCAATTGAACACTGTATATCAGACGATTATTATTGGTGTAGATCTTTGAAAACTCAAACATGTGGAGTTGTGAATAAACAAATTCTTTTTCAAAAGGTACGTAGCCAAGAGTCATTTAATGGAACCAAAGTCTAACAAACCAATTTATATTAGTTTTCATTACATTATTTATTTGATAAACTATATTCTAAATGTATGATCATTGTTATTCGTGAAGGATGAATCATATGCGATTTCCAATGATTTTGTATGAATTGTGAGATCACGGATGGTATAACTTGTTGGAATTTTTACAACTTGGAGTATATTGATAACTAATTGTAGATTGAATCTTAATTAATCTTTTACACTATGTTCGAATCTCTATTCATACAAAATTGATTTTGTGTTCTTCGATAGTTTTATTGTAGAATACTATAATGAATACTATAATGGAATATTTTTCCGCATATAGACAAGTTTTTTTAGGTGATGAGGCATGCCATTAAATTGTTTTTTAGTCCTTTTCGTCTTCATTTCAAGACTTACAGTGACTTTCACTTGGTTATTTCAGCCTAACAATTGTGGGGATAGTAAAAATAATGGATATCAATCAAATATAAATAAAGATGAATCAATGTTAAGATTATCAAAAGGTAAAAAGAAAAAACAATAATTTAAAATATAGTGTTAATTATCGATCTAATTTGTATTCTAGGTCCGGATGGTAGTTATTTAATCTTACCATCTTCAACTTATTTTGGCGATTCAACATTATTTGTACACATAAATAAACAAATGCATCGATTTCGAATTAAACATTTACAAATAACAAATAAATACTCATTTGGTGGAAGATTATTTGATAGGTACGTATTTTTACATTGATTTTTATGTCAAAAATAAATATTTTCTTCGTGACTTTTTCACTGTTAGGAGAAATTCAACAAGCGAGATTTTCTCATCGTTTCATGTCATGATAAACGAGAGAATATTGATCAGAGATGAAAAATTTGCCGGTAATTTTGAGAAGTTTCCACTAGCTAATAACTAACAATTGTTGTTTTAATGCACTTTATTATTTTTGATAGAAAATAGAGTATTTGCACATATACTACGGAAAAAATGAAAAGTTCTGCTAATCGTGTTTTTTCTTTGAAAATATATCCAAACTTAGTCATTTGATATTTAGTTCTAAAATCTAAAGAATTAAAAATGTTCTAGTATACACAGCGAATGAAAATAAAATCTCTATTCTTACTTTCTATTGTGCATATCCTATGTGATAAAATTTTACTTTTCACGTTGTGAACTAGTAACGCATGAAAACTAGTAGTGTCTACGACTAATGCTCACTATCTAACACGTCCGTTTTGTAATTTACGGTTGTTCACATGTGAATAAAATGTCTTCACATCTGTGTACGAGTGAATCATGAAAAAAAAGAAAATTTTACATATCATTATCCATGGAATAACAAATCTTGTGATTACGTGATTCAGCGTACTTTTGTTTCTCGATCCCTTAAGCACGCGTAGATAAAGGAAGGGTCCGTACAAGGGTAAAGAATCGATCCACTTTTCTTTTTTGCTCAGAATGGTCCTATGTGAAGCAGATAGGATCTTCACTTCGAAGCTGACATTACAGAATATCAATAAAAACCTTCTCCTGCGCTTTTCTCTGCCATTATAGGACCATATAAACAAATCATTATATAATTAGAAAGCTCTTTCAATTCTCTACAAACTGGTCTATTCACAATATCTCAAGGGGGAAACAGCAGATTTTGTGACTTCTGTAATCTGGGCTCCGTTCCACAGGCAATCAATCTTTTTCAAATTTTGTTATACTCCTGGAGACTCCTTGGTATTCTTCGTGACCTCGCTGAGCTCGTTTTCTGAGTGTTTTTGAATTTTCCCATGTTTTTTCCGCTTAGCCCTATTTTCAGTCATTTTTACAGACTTTCGGGGTTTCATCGGATTCTACTCTCTTTTTCCAATTGTTTCTTGTACTCTCAGGGATTACTCCAGTTTCTCGAACTTTGGGAAATTTGTATAGGATTCTCCAGGCTTCTGTAGGTCTGGGAGTCCACAGGTGCTTGAAATTCTGCTGTTTCCCCCTTGCAATATCTTCACGGGCGTGCAAAAGGCCGTTAAGTTGGAGATACCACGTGTGACTAGAGAAAAATGTGATCTGACCTTTTACACACGTCAAATTTTGCAGCCTAACGTTTTTCGAAAAAACACAATTCACAATATCTTTACTGACGCATGCAAAAGATTAAACGGTCAGGTGACATTTTTCTCTAGTTACACGTGGTATGTCTAACTTAACGACCCCCCCCCTCCCCGCACACCGTTGAAGTTATTGTGAATAGACCAGTTAGTAGAATTGAAAGAGCTTTAAAACAAACTAGTTTAGAAAAATGGATTTTTTCCGTTTTGGAAAAAGCTGGTTTAAATGCTTTACAGGTGGCATTTTTCTCTAGTCACACGTGGTATGTCTAACTGAACGACCTCTTGCACACCATTGAAGTTATTGTGAATAGACCAGTTTGTAGAGAATTGAAAGAGCTTTAAAACAGACTAGTTTAGAAAAATGGATTTTTTCCGTTTTGGGAAAAAGCCGGCTTAAATGATCTATAGGTCGCATTTTTCTCTAGTGGTATGTCGAACTTAACAACCTTTTGCAAATCAAAAATCGATTCTTTATCCTTGTACAAATCCATCCTTTCTATTTAAAATTGTTCACCTCTAAAATGTCTATTTTATAAATCGACGGTACTGACGACAAAAGTTGTTTCACATTCGATATCCATGCGTCGGTCTGAGAATGTACGTTTCTTTTTCATGTCCATTAGATAAAGGATAAAGAATTAAAAATATCTACGAGATACGTATATGAGCACGTATATTAGCTAAAAATAAAAAATAAAAATATTCGTACTGTAAGTCCAATAATTCGTCATTCTAACTATCAATCAGTACAAACGAAGAAGATAATGTTCGCAATAGAATGAAAGAGTGCAATAATTTTTTTCAAAAAAAATTTCAACAAATGACTGTTTGACTCACAGTAATCAAAGAACATATAATCTCTTCGGTTTTTCTATTGTACAATCACTGTATGAAACGTTCTACCACGAAATATCGGTTCAGCAGCAACAATATCTAGTTTTAAACGATGGTTTTATTTTGTCGTATTTGTCTCTTTTTTCTAAACTTATATTCTCCTCTATGTATGTCGCTTTTACTTTCATTTTTTGGGTATTTACTCTCTTGTTGTGAATGTTTACTTTTTGGTGAGGAAACAATATTACAAGTTTATGGCTTTTTTATATTTTTCTTTTGTATTTCGATGTTCCTATTAGGAAATTCTCTGTACATACCTTAAAGATAAAGTTCAGATTCAACTGATACTTTCTACATTCTCTGATGTTAGTTTATATTCATTTATAACTAGAAAACATAATTTTTCTCATTTATGTACTTAATATTATCAATTTGTTCTAGTATTCAACATATAATTGAACGTTATAAAATTGAACCAATTGTCGATAATTATTGTCTAAAAC